GGCCTAAAAAATCTTGCAAAAACAATGACCCTACCCTTAAGAATATACAGGATCAATTGGTCTAATCATCAAATATAATTGCCAAAAAGGTAGGGGGAAGCGCTTAAAAAAACAACCTTTAATCGTTAACCACTTATAACTTATAATTAAGTGCCAAACCTCACGTAAATCCCTCATGAGACTTCTTATGAAGTAAAATGAAATCAAGCTGAATGCCAATCCTATAGGATGTTCCAATTCTGTGAAAAAACATCTTAAAGTTTCCTCAACTACTAAGCTGGACATCTTAGCTCACGCTTTTCCTTAGGACTTTTGGCTAAATTTCCTGAACCTAACGGCCTTATCGGAAAGCTAGCTCTTATAAACACAAATTAGATTAATCAAACTGTCTGTTACTTGTGCAAGAATGGTAGAGACAATTAATACTTATTAATTGTTTTACGGGATATCTAAAACTGAACACCAGCTACGATAACTGCAACTTCTGCGAACTCGAAACATTAATAAATTACTCGCTGTTGTTCTAGAAAACAATTAGTTTGCATGTAATAACTTCGACTAGTCGAGAATACGAGAGTGTGAATGAGAACGCTAATACGAGCTCATTTTGAGGAAAAATAAATCTAAGCCAAGGAATTATCTCGTTTGTTTTAATTCGATTAACTTATTTAATACACGAAACTGTCTGATATCAACCCAACGCTCGGGAAAGTCGTTGTCAACCAATGCAAACACTTTGTTTGCATGTGATATTAATCCGTGCACAATTTTACCATATTCTCACGCCCACTGTGTTTTCGTTTCTCGCTGCTTTCTTCTGTTAAACGTAAAAGCTCTCTAAATTCTAAGAAGGGCTCTGAAATATATTCTTGTTTAAATTAACATGCACACTAATAGAAGGTGGACAAATGGAATAAGATATTAAATGACAGACATTTTCCTGTTAAATCATTATCTATGTGCCTTTTAAATTATCAAGAAAAAAAAAACACCTAAGTTGTTTATGTTGGCCTAAGTAATCTGTAAAAATGAAGACGTTAAAAGAAACTTTAATTTTGATTCAGTTTGAAACAAATATTTATCTATATTAATGGTTAAAATCGAGGAACGTATTTGCTGATTTTCACGAACCCTGACTAGTTTCAGACTTTGTGGACTGAGGATGACTAAGTTTGCACGTGAATTAACATGAGTATCTCATAGATCTTCTTTTCACCTACCTTATCTATATAACAACACGTAGATGGTGAATTCTTAAAGTAAATGCAATTTGGACGTCGCTAAATTAATTTTTCTCTCCAAAGTTCTACGTGACGGCCATAAGGTTTATTTGGAAGTGTGGTTTGGGAAAGTTCTATCCGCAGCCAATCAGCTTGAGCGAAATACAATTATCGTCAGTTCTATCTAGTTGAATATACAACAAGTCTAACAAGAAGTCAACAATTTATAGATGTTTAGACACCTGGGTTAATAATCGTAGTTTTAGACCAGAAACGTCATATTTCAAGTCCCCTATTGCAACAGAGCACTATCCTTTGCTTTTCCAGCTGTACCAAGCTGACTGACTGCAATTAAGATTTACGAAAGAGGATCAGTATCATGAAGAGGTAACTCAGTTGCTCAATAACCTCAGCTGCTTTTTCAAGCTTTTGGAGAACGACGTAGGACCCTTATTACGCCGGCTAAACTTGTTATTTCCTCCGGGTTAGTACAATCCCCCAAAAGAAGACAACTTGAATATTGTTCATTTAACACATCCATTTCGAGTAAACTCTTAAAAATCATATTTTTCTCCCGTGAATCTGTTTACGGAATACAACGCAATCACAGTCTCAATCATTTAATAAACTGCGTTAATTCTTTTGAAAGTTAATTTTCATTTTGGTTAAGACACCTTACTCAATCTAAGTTTATAAAATTTGTATAAGTTGATTATTAAAGGTTACCTTTATTCTTTTTAGACATGAGGTTTGTGTTTGCGCTTGGTATTCTGATCTTTCTTTTCCCTGATGGAAAGGTAAGTTTATTTGTTTTCCAAGAGCCGTATTGCACTGTAATTAGTTATCGTCCCTACGCGTATCAAATACACTTGCACAGTGTCAAGTGCAGCTTGAGGTATTGTTTAAGTCTTCGACCAGCTTTCTGCCTAGTTGAAATGGCACTTGGTTCTATCTAAAACCCATTCACAATTACATAGATTTACTAAAAAATGTTATTTTGGTTTCACATCTAGGTTGAGGGCGAGTCGTCGAAAGGTAAGATTTCGTTTTTTATTTCAAGATACATTTCAATTTCACGTATTTCCTATTTTTGACTCACTTCTTTGCCTGGAAATTCTATGGGCCACAAATTTTTTCCACCCAGTCGGTTTTGAATATGCGCCCCCATATTGATCCCAAAAATTACGTTGTTCAAGACTGCTTCTCACTGGGAGGTAGGGAGCGTAATATACTGACATAAAATGTAATAAATGCGAAATGACTTAAAAGCTGTTCTGTTTAGCTTTTAGTCTTTTTCGATTTTTTTTAATATCTGTTTTAACATTTTGAATATTTCTGTGTTAGAATGTAAGCCATGTTCCTTACAATGGCAACTGGCCTACCACCACGATGGAAATGGGAATGGGATTTCAGGATCGAAATTTTCGCTGATTTCTGCGATTTTATCGGGGGCTCGAATCCGAGTGGTGATTGATAAGTACAGCACAGAAGCCGATAATGTGCATGTCTTCAGCCATCACGTGTTTGCTCAACTGCTACAGCACGTTAGCAAAGCCTCTTGGAACAAGTTTCAAGATAATGCCTACTGGTGGTGGGTGATCATGTCTACCAACGGGAATATGGAAATGACGAGGTATAACGTTGGCTCAAACATACATCGTGGAACCAGCAGTAAAAAAGTGAGCATCTGGTGGTATGTGCAGACATCTACATTCGTTCTCATGCCATCATTCTCCCACTTGGCCGATGGCAGCTCAGTGCAGGGTAACCTGAGTCACCTGGTAAAAAGCGCCAAGAGTGGCTATGAAATTCGATGTGTGACTGCTAAGAAGTATGCCTTTCCGCTTCAAAATGTCGCGATTAATAGCCAGGGTGTCAGCTTCGTCTCAGGGCAAAATGTCGACTCCATAAGCATCAAAACGAATGGTAATTTGATACAATTTCAGAGTAACGTGTACTGGTGGTTTTGTGTAGTAACAACACGTGGATTGCGCGACATGTCACGTTGGACCGTTGGAATCCATCAGTCACGAGGTCACAACCAGGACACAGTGGCAAATGAATGGTTTGTAGACGAATGCTGGAAGGAAGTCTTCACCCACGATAGCAAAGGTGCATCCCTCTCAGGATCGCGCCAGGCTCTAACATCGGCTCTCATGGCTGGTCATCGTGTCCGTTTCCAGATGGAATTACTACACAGCAGAAGCTGACAATCTGTCCTTACGAAATTCTCATGTGACAGCCCAGGCACTTAAACACGTAAGCAGGAAAGGACTGACTGGGTTCCAAGATGACGCATACTGGTACTGGCTAATGGTTTCCACCACTGGAACCGTCCGTGCCACCAGATACAACGTTGGAGAACATAAGCATCGCGGAGATTCTACGTACAAGCTGGCTGTGAAGTGGTTCGTTGACACCAGGTCTTGGAAACACGTCTTGTGAAACGGTCCAACTGGTGACATCCTTGGCAGAGACCGAAGTGATCTCGTGCAGGCAGTCAGAGATGGAACAGCTGTACGCTGCGTGCAAGGAAATGAATGTCGGGGCTACGTGTACAATGCTCAAAACCTAGCTGTGTCCCCAGATGGAAACCACGTGGCTTCTCAAGCTCTCAACCACGTCAGCATGCGGTCAGCACCCGATCCAGACGAAGTTATGATAAGCCCTAACGCTTACTGGTGGTTTACAATTGTGTCTACAACTGGCTGGAGGGAGATGTCTCGCTGGACCGTTGGTGAGCATGTGGATCGCGGACATACCTCCGACAAAATTGGCCAGAAGTGGTTTGTCAACCATTGAGTTAAATAAAAACGTCCTCATGTGCGAAACGTTGAACTGGCAAACGAACTGTATCGTGCGTTTAGAGTAGTTGCAGTAAGGTACCAAAAAAACATGCTAAAGTCATCGAGGTTTTTTGATCAAAATACACCTTTGTCAGACCTCACAAACAAAGAGCAGATGTACTGGAAATGAACGGGCCTCAGTCTTAAAATCGATGAGGACAACTTATGGATATATTTTGTTGCGTCGCGTAAGCGATATTTAGTAACGTCTTTAGTTGATTTTGCGCACCCATTTGGCTACCGCTTAGCCATATTTTATGCATAATTGGCGGCTGATTTACCATGTTTTGTGGTTTTGCAGATTTCATTGGATTTGACCTTTCTTTTTCTTACGCCTTTACGCAGTTTGGTTTTTCCTGCTACCGAAGTTCACATTGCTTTCCATGAAAAGAGCCAATTTGGAAAATGAAAAAGTAATAGTGCTTCCTTGCAAAAAATGTTTACTTCATGGTTAAAAAAGAACACAAAGCGCGAAGGCATGCTCGTGAAAAAATTGTCAGAAGAGTTTTGGTAATAAACTTTATTTGACGTACATGACACTTGGCACGAGTGTTCACTGACAACTGCATGTGAAAGTGCCTAATAAAAAAATTAACTGTTTGTTATGAACCACCGTTAATTGTAAGATACCCCCAATGTTATCTTTTAATTGCTTACTAGTGTGTTCTCAGAATCGGTTTGGTTGGCTACAGAAGAATCAAACGTTATAACAGCCCAGTACTAGTCCTTCTACGCTCTCTGCTTGGTCAAGTATGGACCCCAGTTCCAGATTTTAAGTCACTTAAAGACAACCTTGATGCAGCGACAAAGAATGCCTTAGAACTAAATGGCTGTCGAAAATATCGAAAACCAAATCCCTAAAAACGTAAAATCCGCAAACTGCAATGAACATTAAAACCGAAAAACCGAAGTTTTTGAACACAAAAACCGGAAAAACCGATTTAAAAAATAGCTTAAACTGCAAAACCGAAAATCCCAACGCTCCCCTCCTTAAAACATGACTCTATCGGTCAGCACCTAAAACAGCTGTTTTTTCGTAGTATCCACTAAGTTTGAGCTAAATCGGGGTTCGAACTTTATAAACCTTCTACCTGGCTCACCCCTGGACGCACTCTCAAAATCAAGACAAACAGATCACTACCCCCAAATGAAAAGGTACAATACTGGTTATTCAAAAGGTTCTTAACGACTTTGCTCTCTCATTTAAAAGTAATAAGATAATCTGGATAACACTGGTTATCGTAGAACACAACGAATATGGTTGGATCTGTGCGGTTATCCACAACAGTGTCATAAACATCGGTGGCGTCACTTCCCTTGGGAGGCGGAGTTATCATTTTCTGCCTTCCTTCCGTGTATTCACCGGCAAGGACACGTGCAAGATACATGCAACGGTGCCCTGTCGCATCAGGTGGTGAATACTTATTTTGTGTGGAATAGGATGCATCTCGAGCAAAGTAAACACCATTTCCATACACAGTTGCTAAAAATTATGAAACAAACAAGTTAACAACAACGACCACCTTCTTGCAGGCACTTAATTTCTACACTTTTTCTTTCTGGTAACATGGAAACATTCCATGCAATTTCAAAGCATATGAAAGAATACTTAGGTTTGCAAGCGGTGTCCAGAACAATAATTTTTCACAGCTTCTTTTAACTTTCAAAGTCGAGTAATCATGAAAATCAATGATCGGAGGAGGCCCAAAGGCCAAAATAGACCCGTTTCCAAATAAAAATTGGCCTCCTAAATTGATTCTCAAAATGAGTTTGTCATAAGCATATTCCAATTATTTATTGCATTTTAGGAAACTGAGAAAATCAAATGATGATAATTTTTTTGTGGAAGGGATAACTATCATCAGTACCCAAAAAGAAACACTCCTCAAAACACTTATATTTTAGGAGACCGAAAGGTTTCTTTTGAACCTGTATGTAAAACAATATGATGTATTTAAAAAAATGACCTTGGATTTCTAGGGTAGCCAGAATATAGCTATTTCATTGTTGCAAAGCTGAGTTGATATTGTTGATGATGTTGCACTGTAACGTTTCCAGACCCTCCAAAGTATACCATGTAAAAATTAATGTAAGTATACAACTTTCAATGACAATGAACTTAACAATTACCATTTTTGCCACAGTAGCTTCTGTTGAAACCGAATTTGTTGATGGAGGGGCAGCTGTCTCCAGCTGTTCCATGGAAGAGTAGTTTTTCATTGCTGCCATTCTTAAGTTCCATCTGTTCCCTTCTGACGACATATGCGCGGTACAGGGAAGGATTTTGCACCCTTTCTATCTTGATAATGGTAACGGGGGACGTCTTGCCCATTTTGTCTGCTACCTTTTTGTACTCGCTCGCGTTAGGGTCTAATAGTACTAGGTGTACCTCTTTCTCTTTTCCAGAGTCATCGTTTGGCTGCACATCCCACTCTAATGGAACACCTGATTGAAAAGATTTAATTTGACTTGAGATTCATTCTTGTCAGCACAATTCAATGTGCAAATGGAATAACTTACAAAACTGCTTTGTCATTAGTTTAAACACCATAAATCTAAAATACGTATTATTTTTCAGTTTAGCTGCACTGTACCTTTCCCAATCTCTTTCCGAACAACGACTCTCACTTCTCCATTGTCAAGGCAGGTTTCCTTCATGTCCTTGAAAACAATCTCGCATTTTTCTTCATCTATTAATAAAATAACAGAGTCTTTGCTCTCACCAAAGGCTTCTTCAATCTGCAAATTAATGCTGGGCTCATAAGGCTCTGGGGTTTCATCATCATCATCGCTGTCATAGAAGAACCATTGTACGTTTTTAGAAAGGAGCTCACCAACACCTCTTGCATGCTCTTCCTCGATCTTCTGGTTAAGTACTTCGTAAATTGTGGTGGCTACATCGAGAACGTCTTCTGTATCACCTCTTACAGATATGCGACCTATGGTCTGCTCGATGTTAACAATGACGTCGTATTTAGCTTCCAATTTCTTTACTTGTTGCATTTGCCCCTTTGAAAGATTACATATTGCTTCACGCTCAATTACTTTCTGTGTGCAGTGATCAGCCGCATCCTTTTCTATTGTCTTGATGACTGTGTCAATGTCTTGCTTGGTGCTTGCAAAAATTTCTATGTAGCTGAAAGGCTTTGCTTTTCCGCGAAACGTGCGCATTGATGGCATAGAATGTGAAGACGCTGAGCCACTTTGTCCTAATCCAATCCATCCAGCAAGCTTTGAGAGAAAACCTGTTCCACTTTTTGCTGAGGACAAGCTCGCTTCCATTGCAGTCTGGAACACACTTAACATTTGGGGCTGATAGATCACAATACGAACAAGAGCAATGGATACAGGTTCCTCTCGAGCAAACTTGAAAATAGCAGCCATCATCCCCTCTGCAGCCTCTTTGGCATCTTTGTTAATGTTCCCTGTTCCAACAGCTGGGAATGAAATCGAGGTCAATCCATCCGAGTCTGCCTTTCGCAAACACTCCAAAATGCAGTTACTTATGGAACGCATGCTCGAAATCCGCTCTGGAACCATGTGGTAAATTTTTCTTACTTGCAGATTTCCGGCTCTAGAAGCCACCACAGTGTCTGGCTTCTGGGACCCCATAGCTGAGCATTCTGCTTGAATAGTCGATCCTCCAGCAGCTAGGATAGCCTTTCCCACACCACCTCCCAGTGCGACATCGAGCTTGTTGTTCGACAAGGTCGCGATTGCATCAGTTACTTCTTTCGTGATGTTACCAGTCTCAGCTTGAACGATAATATTGCCAATCGTTATTTCAGGTTGCAAGGGATCTAATAATGTAGGCTCTTCGTCCGAGATAACATCTACACCATCAGGGGTATCTTTTTCTGATCTTTTGTCGCTACCACCGCGCAGTCCCCGACGTTTCTTCTTTCCATCTTTCGGAGCTGCTGTTGCTGCTGGTGGTTGCAGTGGAGGTGGACCCACACTTCTTTTTTGCAGTTCGGTCTGGAAGGCTTGCACTGATTGCAAATCCTTATCATAAACAACCAAATGGACTTCCTTCAAAGGGCTGCTTGGATTTTTCTTACTGAAGGATAAAACTTCATCAAAGGAAGCTTCAGCCACGCAATCACGGGGAAAGTTGAGGTTCCCAGTCCCAATTGCAGGGATGGAAATGGTCGAGAGACTCTTTTTTTGTGCTTCTTTGAGACATTTCTGTATGATACCCCGCAGTACCTGTAAATAAGATGTTTAAGGCCCGTTGTATATGTACCTTACAGATAATCATAAAGATGGCAAATTTTCTAAATTTCTCATTATTTTGCAGCTGAAATAGCACATGAAATCACGGAAGAATTCGAAGGCGTTCCGTAACACAATTCCTGTTATTTCTTCGTTCAACTATATTTATCTTGACCTCTTTTTTTAAGATAATGGGACTTGAACCGTGCTCTATGTTTGAATTTTTTTCGCATGGTCATGGGCCTCTTCTGTCAAAGTAGGCGGGTAAGGAAGTAGAAATAAGCAGACATCAAAGTTGCCATTGCAAGAAAAAAAGATGATATCTGTGCTAACCTTTTCGCCCTCTCCTTTCTCCCATCCAGGACATGAGGTGTGGAAAACGTGCTTACACGCTAGATTTGCTCCGTTTGTAACCACAATCTCTCCGGTCTTTACCTGGCCAATCTTTTTACACTCTTCTTGCAGCTTGGGGCCTGCAGCGGCACTCAGGGCCTTAGAACTTGCGTTCCCACTCAGATTCAGGTTCGATGAAGTTGTGTTGACGATAACATCAACCTGAAGAAAGCCAGCAAGAGATATTCTTGTCATAAATCAGAATCAGGCCCTCAATGAGGACAAATGCAAAAACATGTTTGAACAACTGCTTCGCGGCTCGGTAACTGACCATCACTATTTATCTCCACTTCAGTGAACCATTGTTAAAGATATCTCTTTAGAATCAATTTGATTTTGAAGAGCATAACGTGCCTTACCTCTTCAGAAGACATATCGCCGATGACAAGAACCAGCTGTAAGCCTTCGGCTGTCTTGATAACATTCGGAGCAGTATTGGAAGAAACTGTTGCCGAGGATGTATTTGGAACTGATGTGGTTTTGCCTTTTTTCTTTCTTTCTTTTCTCTTCCTTTTTGAGTCTGAAGATGATTGATAACTAGGATCGTTAAGACATCTGGAATCCAACTCTTTTGCAAAGGCCTTTACGACATCATCTTCGATACTAGTAAACTGAATCTCGGACAGGAGACAACTCGGGTTTTTTCGGAAAAAAGTCAGCATTGATTCTACCATGATTTCGGCGCACAGTTCAAGTGGAAATTCAAAGATTCCGCTACTAATGGCAGGAATAGCTACCGAATTATAGTCCTTCGCAGCGTCTAGGGCATTCGTTACTGCGTAGCTTAAAATCTTTTCCTCTCTAGGAGTTCTCCCCATTGATTTTTCTTGGGCTGCTTTTTTCTCCCATTTTGGCCCCACAGCATGAATTACTTTTTTGAAAGGTAGATTTCCTGCAGACGTGACAGCCACCTGGCCGTCTAAAATTGGTCCTGCATCAGTGACAAACCGATTACATTCCGCCTTGAAGGCTTCTCCCGCTCTCTCAGATATGGCTTTTGAGACACCACCTACGTGCTGAAGCTTTGAATTAGCAGCACTAACAATAACATCCACGTTGCGATCGCAGATGTTGTCTTTAAACACCAGAATCTTCCTTCCGTCCGGAGTAAGAAGGTCGTACAAACTCTCTTTCTTCTTTTCTGCTTTCTTTTCTTCTTTCACTTCCTTTTCGTCCCCTTTGTTTGGTAGAAAGTACTCGACTACACAATTATTTTCATTCTCCAACATACCCAGTAATTTTTTTCCTTTGCTTCCATCAAGCATTTTACGCATCCCAGGTTTGCTGACAGGCATCTTTTGACTTTGAACTTTAGATGCGAGATCTTGAATCAGCTCCTTAGCTTTGTCAACTCCGCAGGTCGTACCTGAGACGACCAGATCTTGTTTACCTTCATCTGCCAAACTCTTTATTCGCGTGGAGTGTTCTTTCAAATCTTCTTGTATTTGCCGCAGTTCCGGTTCGCGGTACTTTACAAGAAATCGGCGACAACCCTTTGGAAGCGTCACTACGGTACTGACAATGGTATTTTCTGCGAGGAAACGCTTAACAGCCTCGACAGAAACCGGAACATCCTCTTTTAGGCCCACGAGACATATCTTCTTATTGCCTCTATCAAATGATAGAGTTAAAATGCGTTTTTCTGTTATCTCTTCTTTCAGCTGATGCCACTTTCTGCTTTTCTCCAACTGAACTTGATCTTCATCCAGGTCGACGCATTCTTCAACTATCTTGGTTTTCACTAGATCGTGAGCTTTCTCTGCGACATCACTTTCCGTCCCCACCACTAATACATTTTCGTTTCTTTCGTCAAAGGCTATCATGGCTTGTAAATTGCTGGCCGTGAGCGTATCTCTCATGAATACTTGACAGGGTGTACTCTTCAGCAAGGCAAGAGCATTCAGTGACATGTTCAGCTTCACGTCTTTCATTTTGGCAACTGCCTCCCAAATGGCTGCTTGCACCTTATCGACGGTTTCGGGAGGACCTCGAATTTGAAGCTTTTCCTTTTCAAGGAGAATGGTGACTTCGACTTCTTCATGTCGACTTTCAAGTTCCTGAGCAAATTCGAGATGTTTCAAGAATTGCAAGCGCGTATATGAAATTTTGACTGTACGCTCTATTTTGGATGCCTCTCTCTTAAGCTTTTTATCAATTACAACTATTATTCCTTCCAATTCTTTGGTAACTTCCTCAACTTCTTGCTTCTTCCCGATGAAAAAGAAAACGTGCTGCTCAGCGATACAATCCATTCTTACTTTTTGCTGTGCTGGGCTTTTACTTTTCTTGAAGTTGTCGACTACATCATCCCAAGCCTCAGGAGGGACACGCGTGGAGCTTTCAACAAACTCAGCCAGGAAATAAGTAATAGCCTCACATGCCTCATCGAAAATGAACTTGTTCCTTAAGGCCTCATCTTTGGGCGTGACCGTGACGCTGTTGATGCCCTCATCCCAGGTTATCTGAACATCGTGGCTGTTCTCAACCTCTGTCAAATCAGCTTTGTAGTGTTCCAAAATGAACTGCATTTTCTTTCCATCCACATTGATATTTTGCATCAATTCAACATCATTTTCAACTGGTTGAGGTTTCCCAAGCAATGAGCAATGAGAACTGACATCCAGCTTTGCACCGCCAAGGAAGTGACTCCCCGTCACAACATTGGAAACAACTGAAATAGATGTTCGAGATATTTTTAAGGTAATATGAAAACATGGGAAACTTACTGCTTAATGCTTTTGTCGTGGAATATACTTACTGCTATATGCTTTAAAGATCGTAATTATTTGGGACTGTGTTTAAGATATCATTAAACAAATTGATCCTCGCAGTATAACTCCTGTTGAAGTCATGAAAGGAAGATAATTCGGAAAAAAATGCTTCGATGGAGATTTAGCCTTTAGATAATACTTAGGTACTTCTACCAACTTAGAAATGAGGTCACGCACCAGTAGCAAGGTGAAGTTTCATGGTTCTTTGTTCCCCGGTAACAAGTCCGATCAAAAGCAATATTTAAAAGAGTAAATCATATTTTGATTTACGACTAAGATAAGAGGTAGCAAAAACGCCTTCCCAGCTCAGCCGCAATTTTTAGACAGTCAGCACTACAAATGTTACAGAAGGAAAATACCGATCGAATTTCATTCGAAAAATGGTTTCGAAACTGGTACTATATTTTTGCAACCTCGACTAATTTCTTTCAAACGCGATTGAAACATACACCATTTATGGTCGGAAGTTCAATCCAAACTAATGCCGGATTAGCCCGGAACTTTCAAATGCAGGCGCGCACGACGCATAACTTGTCCTTTCATTCATAACGTAGAGGAAATATCCAGACCCAAGCGATCCATTGAAATTTCTGATCATTTTACGCGCACCTACGCCAATGTCATCCATTGCGTAACTCGCACTTAGCAATAGGTATTCATTGGCGAAACAGGAAGACAACCAAGGTACCGATTTCGAGAACACCTTTGCGACATAGAGAGGAATGAAAAGGACACATCCAATACAGTCGCTAGACTCTTTAATCTCCCAAATCATTTTAAACAGCATATGGCAGTCAACGGCCTTTCCCTACATCTAGGCAGTTTGAAAAGCCGAGAAACTCACGGAATCAACAAACGATATTCATTCAACTAAATTATTTTTACTTCTCTTGTTACCACATTCTCACCAATAGCTCAGCTCCATTTTCTGCTATATAAACACACACAACCCACAATTCCTCCATTCACTCTGACGAGGGGCTAACACTCGAAATATCAGCTTTAGAAATTCTTTACGTCGGACAATCTACACAGTCAACTCAGTTTTAATTAAAATTAATCCAAATTATCCTATTATGCTCCCCTAACAATGCAGCACCACGGTTTCGTTAGAAATTTACCCCCTATATTCATTCCAGAAAGCACTTACTGACTTCAACCTGATTGCAGCTAGCCAGTATGATCAATTCGTTACTGGCTAGTACTTCGTTACTAAATGCTTTTGAAGTGTTATGTCCTGTAGGTTGGTAAACCCACACTACGCGTTTCTTGATACACCAGACAAAGATAATGGGAACATTTTCAAAAGTTCAAATTGAACTGACAGTAACTGACTTTCTCTTCAATAAGGTTAGTTATGTTACACACCTTTTGGGTCTTCGAAGAAAACCAACGCCCATCCTTCCTCTAGATTGAGCTCCACACTGCTTACGTCACCACCATTGTTCTTTGGACTCTCGAAGTAATAACGAATAGTATCCTCAGTAGTTGTTTCCTTGTTAAAACCTGATACTTGTAGGCAGTGACAAACTGGAAGTTGTTCTGCTATCAGGGTTTTTCCCTCCAGAGGCCTCACAGAGATCTTCTTTGTAACAGTGTGATAATCTGTGTATTTTCGAAACGATAGGTATTCAAGTATTGAAGAACACAAAGATATTATGTTATCGAAAACTAGACACAAAAAGTAAATTTATTGTGTTCTAAGAATACAATGCGAATGTGAGAGCTATTTAGCTGTTATTAAGGCGATCTAAAATAACATGAGAATTTTTCTTTCCAAAACAGCCATATGGAGATCATGGCCGACTCCATCCCATAATAAATTCACCATCTGAACAGATCTAGAGTTACCGGTTAAGAGAAAGATCGTGAATAAAACAGTATAAATGATACGTCAAGGGACGATAGAGTTATAAAAACGCTATTTAAATCCCACATTTACGGCTAACTTAAGTCAATTTATCCCTTCCAGTTGTCATTTGGGTTTAACTTGCAGGGAATTTGAACTTACCATAGGCCTCATTGAAGGTGACCACTGCACATGCTTCACCTCCAAACTCGACTTTCAGGACATCCACTCCACTTACTACTTCCATGTAACACTGAAAAGCATCCTGGGTAGTTTTGTCACTGAAGCCTTTCACTAAAAGTCTTTTAGTATCAATAGGCAGTTCCCGTGGAGGCTGTTTGAGAGTAATTGTCAGATTCGCTCCATCATAGGTTAGACTTCTTTTACTTAAGACTCCACGAGCACCTTCAGGCAAGAAGAAAGAAGATAGTTGAGTGAGTCAAACAAACAAGCAGCGGAAACAAACAAGAGAAAAAGCGAAACAAAGTGCACAACAGTTTTATTTATAACTTAAGCAACTCGTACCAAATGTTTACTACGAGGAAAATTTCAGTTTTTTTTTTATCCTTTCTAGAAGATGTAAACATTCCCAGCGGCGTATAATCAAGGGCAACTTAGAAATGAAGAAATCAGTTAGTTTATATGTAAATGTTGCTCCGATTTCATCTAGCTCATCTTGCTTGAGCAGAGCTGGACGAGGGCGAGACTATACGTAGGTATATGACAGTATATCTGGACTTACTTTCGGCCGTGGTAAAGGTAATAACAGCTGTCCCCTGGTCTGAATCATGATCGACATTTTCTACTTCACCTCCTCCGGAACGCTTTTTGTTCTCGAAGAAGTTTAAAATAGCCTCTCTAGTTGTTTTCGCACTAATTCCAGTCACCTCAATGGTGCGAGATTCTTGAGATACTCCATCGTTATGTGGCTCAACTTCAGGGCTACGCGCTGTAATCATGACATTCAGTGTGGCTCCGTCAAGGGTATGCTTGCCTTGTCTCAGGATACTTTTCATTGCTTTCAAAGTAACAAATTTCAATCGTCATCGAAAATCTTATGTATGGAAATTCTAAGTCAAATACTTGAAAATTTTCCATACTCACTTTCGGCCGATGTAAAAGTAATGATAGCGATTCCCCGGTCGGGAGTATGAACAACGTCTTCTATCTCTCCTCCCCCGGAGCGCGTTTGGTCTTCGAAGAATTTCAAAATTGCATCTTTAGTTGTTTTCGCAGCAAGTCCCGTAACCTTTATTGTTCGTGATTCTTGTATTCCTGCTGTGTCGAGCGTGTCAGCTGCTGTGTTGGTGGGTTTCACAAGCAGTATGGCTCCCTCGAGGAAGTGCTTGTCGCGAAGTAACACACCTTTCGCAGCTTGAAACGTGACAAAATGTAACAATTGCTTATCAGAGCAAGGAACACTGTTTCAGGATTCATAATCCATACTTAGAAATGCAAGATGATTAAGAAGTATCTCAATATCTTGGCCTAATTGAACACTTATTGAGTTGTACATGTATCTCAAGCAGTTATCGCAGGATCGCTAAATGAGGAATGCAATAGAGCCAAGAGGGAACTTTGTCAAATCTTTAAAATGTTGTTAGAGATGGCTTCATCCTACCTCATTAGAATTCAGAACAAAGTGCAACTTACGCGAAACTACTTACCTTCAAAATCTTTGAAAGTCACGAATGCCACATTTTCTTCCGGCCGAAAAGTCACAGCTTCTACCTCTCCACCCCCAGAACGTCTCTCATTTTCAAAGTAGTTGCGAATGGAGTCTTCAGTACTTTGCGCAGTAAGGCCAGTTATCTGGATGGTTTTGCTTGTATTTTCAGCATTATCGAGCAACTCGAGACTGACATGAAGTGTGGCACCATTCAGGATATGCTGATCGTGCTTGACAACTCTTTGTGCAACTATAAGAAATTAGATCAGTATTTTTGAAATCTTAGATTGTAAATTGTTCTTTGGCAACAAAAAGAGCAGGAGCAGCAACATCATCAACTACATACTCTTTATCTACAAACGATAACAACTACTAATACGTGCTTAGACTTAAATAATAAAATGCTGAAAAATGTACCAAGTGATGAGCGGCGAGGCCGCGAGAAGAACAAAAATGTCACCAAAGTCTTTCGTTCCAAGCCTCTCGCGGACTCGCCTCTCGTCACTCTCACGCAGACAAAACTGTCAGCTGCGCGTGCTATACTGTTACCTTCCGATGACTCGAACTGTACTCGTGCTACATTGCCTTTGATTTTCACTTCTTCTACAGCGCCACCTCCCGACCGCCTCGAGTTCTCAAAGTAATTTAAAACAGTGTCTTCCGTTGCATTTTGAGGTAGTCCTTGAACGAAGACAACACGGGTCTGCAAGATCACAAGAGATACATTTGACTAACCTTACATTTTCGTAAGAAAATCAAATGAGAAATCGGTACAACGACAAATGCAAGAGTAAGAACAAGAACGATGTGTTTATTTGTAAGAGAGACATTTTTCGAACGAAAAGTTTGCAGGTAATATCAAAGACACTGCATAAATAATTTGAAGCTTTGAAATTGTGCAGTGTATACAGGAGTGACTCCTGCTAGGAGTGACCAAAAAGAAACTATTTGACTGAGTAATGTTTAACGCGAAATGAAACAAAGTAAAAAGTTTAAAAGGTTAAACTGTGGGTCTGACCTGGTTTTCTGATCCGTCCTTAGCCTGGAACTCGTCAGTGATTGAATGGTATGAAACTTCCACTTTTTTTCCATTTAAAGTGTGTGTTTTACCTATGACCTTCTTTGCAACTGCCAAACAATTAAGAAAAATTGAAACAGATAACCTTAATGAAGGAAATAAAAGGAAACAAAATACGAGAGCTTGAGTGAAGGATAATGCAAACAGGCCGTTGATACTCAGTCATCGGTTACCATGACCGCATAATATACGTGACCGCTTAATAGAGGTGAAAATAGCAGGAATACATATTGAGACTTTGAAAACCGACCGCTTTATACAGGGTCTGCTTAATACAATGCTGCTTAATACAGGTTCGACTGTACTCTTTATCTATAAATGATAACCGCTGATTCGTGCTCAGAAGTAGGGAATAATAACCTAAGCAATTTATTATGGCCTCGAAAGAGAAAGAATGTAAAATTTGAAATTAAGTAAGCTTGAAAAGAGTCTCTTTTTCTCCCGGCAAGTGATCACATGATCGGGTTTATGCCTACTTTAAGGAAATGTCACCCTAACATCTCAGTACCATCAAATTAATTAAAAGTAATTATCATATATATGAACTAGGATGATTTCATAATGACGAAATGATTCTTTGAAATTCCCAATAACAGAAGAAAAAAGCTTGAAACAATTCAGGCTTTAACGGGGTTGGAGCCCTTTCCTCCTTGGGCGCTATAAACAACAGAGGTACGTAGCCTCATCTTGGGAGCGAGGCAAGTTTTACAGGTTTCTTCGTTCTCGTTAATGAATCTCCACGTAATAACTTATTTCTTATCTTGTATATCACCCGAAAATGAAAATGTGATTTAATTCAATTGTGCTCAAAGAACTTTGCGAAAATAACAGGGCCTTTGAAATTTGCCTACGTCCCAAAGTGAGGCTATGTAGCTCAGTTCGTAGTAGTGCCATGTAACTACGTGGTGTGAGCTATGGCAAAAATCCCATCGTAGCCGGATGGATGCTTTTCTTTAAATTCTTCAGTTGTAGTGTAAGAATCATTCCTTCACCATAGGAAGCTAATCAATTAATATCATATATTTAAATCCTTGCCTTTCGCTTTTGCGGAAACAAAACCATCAGCAACATGTTAGACAGTTACCTTCAGATGACTCAAAGCGCACTCGTGCTACGTTGCCTTTGATTTTTACTTCTTCAACAGCGCCGCCTCCCGACCGCCTTGAGTTCTCAAAGTAATTCAAAACAGTGTCTTCCGTTGCATTTTGAGGTAGTCCTTGAACGAAGACAACACGAGTCTGCAAGAGCACGAGAGATACATGAGACAGAACAAATACTTTCTTGAGAAAATGAAATGAAATTACAGTACTAAGACAAAAGCTAGAATAAGACACAAACTGTTGTATTGAACTGTGAGAGTGTTATTCTCCATAATTATAAGATTAATCTTTGCTGGAAAAGGTTTACGAGGAATATCAAATATACCGATATAAGAATTTGAAGCTATGATATTGTGCAGTGTACGCACGAGTGAATTTATGCTATGAATGACTTAAAGAAACTTTTCGACTCAGTAATGCTTTATGCGAAATGAAACACGGTAAAAAGTCTTAAGGATTCAGCTGAAGGTCTGACCTGATCTCCTGATCCGTCCTTAGCGTGGAATTCGTCAGTGATTGAATGGTGTGAGACTTTCACTGTTGTTCCATTTAAAGTGTGTGTTCTACCTAAAACCTTCTCTGCAACTGCCAAAACAATTAAAAAAAAAGTAGGTGACGAAGCTCATAAAGACATGAACCAATTGATGGATTGATTATTGAAAGGAAAGGATTACTGAATTGTCATTAATATAGAAATAAGTTATCTGATTCATTGTTTTTCTTTGTACTATTCTAGTGCATGACAAGATATATACCATCTTTCATTACTCGAAGAAGGATTTTGCTTTCTTTCCTAGCCCACTCAAACACAATCTGTAATCACGACGAATTTACCGTGTCTTATAGTAAAAAGAATCACAATGAGTCAGTCATTAGAAATGCATAAGAGAGCTTTTCAGGTTAGGAGACTTTGGGGGGGAAGGGGGAGAAGGGGGGTAGGAGGAAGGGGGGAAGGGGGTAGGGGAAAGGGGGAGGGGGGCAGGGGGAAGTGGGAAGGGCAAGGGAAGAAGAGGGAAACTAAACGAGGATGGGACGAGATCATCAGCAATTTTACAGAACTTGGAAGGAATTGTGGACAATGGTAATCAGTGATAATTTTTTATCTTACCTTTATGTAAGATATCAAATAGCAGCCCTTATCAGATTTCAAAAGCAAATGTAACTTGTACTTAACGACTTACCACCAATATCTTTGAAAGTCACAAGAGCCATATTTTCTTCCGGCCGAAAAGTCACAGCTTCTACCTCTCCACCCCCAGAACGTCTCTCATTTTCAAAGTAGTTGCAAATGGAGTCTTCAGTGCTTTGCGCAGTAAGGCCAGTTATCTGGATGGTTTTGCTTGTATTTTCAGGATTATTGAGCAACTCGAGACTGACATGAAGTGTAGCACCATTCAGGATATGCTGATCATGCTTTACAACACTTTGAGCCACTTCAAAGAACAAGTAGTTAGATCAGTATCTACGAAAGTTTAGAGTGTAATTTTTTTTCTCCAGCAAGGGCAACAACAACAACAATAACAATAACATCAACTATATTCTCTTTATGTAGAAATGACAACGAATGATACGTGCTCATATTTAGAGAATAAAAGCCTAACAAATTCAATAGGGCTTGGAAAGAGACAGAAGACTACAATTTAAAATTACTTGAGCTTGAAACACGTCTTCTTTTCATCTTACACACAATTGCATGATTGTTTAGGCCAGGTGTCAAAAAAATGTCGTCCGTAAAGATCTCATAACCATTTCCATTCAGCAAAAGTGATTATAAAATCGAATTAACATTATACATGTGACGTATATGGCCTGGGATAATTGAACATTAAAAAATGATCCTCGAAAATGACAAAATCACAGAAAAAACAAGATTGAAACAGTTTAGGCTTTAATGGGGTTCGAACCCAATTCTCCTTGCTAGCAGTTGGACACAAGAAACAACTGAACGACGAAGCCCTATCAGACAGCTCTGAATGCTTTGCAGTTACCTTCAGATGACTCAAACAGAACTCGTGCTTCATTGCCTTTGATTTTCACTTCTTCAACAACGCCACCTCCCGACCGCCTCGAGTTCTCAAAGTAATTTAAAACAGTGTCTTCCGTTGCATTTTGAGGTAGTCCTTGAACGAGGACAACACAGGTCTGCAAGAATATGAGAGATACATGAGACAGACCAGACATTTTCTTCAGAAAGTCAAATAAAATTTCACCGCAAAGACAGACGCAAGGATAAGAAACGAGGAAAATGTGTTTAACAGTAAGGGCGATATTATCTCAACCAAGCTTGATCCTGGCAGGAAAAAGGTTTACAAAGAACATCAATATACCGCTGTTAGTACTTAAAGTCTTGAAATTGTGCAATGTACGCACGAGTGAATTTATCCTATGAGTGACTTAAAGAAGCTTTTTGGCTCAGGGATGCTTGGTGCGAGATGAAACACTGTAGGCAGTTTAAAGGGTTCAGTTGTGGGTCTGACCTGATCTCCTGATCCGTCCTTAGTGTGGAACTCATCAGTTATTGAATGGCGTGAGACTTCCACTGTTTTTCCATTTAAAGTGTGTATTCTATTTAAGACCTTCTTCGCAACTGCCAAACAATTAAGAAAAGTTGAATGAATTACTGAATGAATAAAAGAGAAAAGAAAAAAAGAAACATATTACAGAACTTACAAGAAATATATTTTTTTCTAAAGAGGAAACTCATTAAAAATGGACCAATTGATTGATCAATCATCTAACGGATAGGAATGCTGGATTGTCATCAATGTGGAGATAAGTTCAATTGCAGATCATCCATCGGAAAAATCCAAGCGTCTGCAGTCAGATTCCCTCGCAGGGGTAAGAAGCGTTAATCTTTTTGCCTTTCTGCCCTCGTGCCTAATTCTCTCTTCGCGCACGCCCCTCACTTATCTTTCTTTTACTGAAAAACGAAAAAAAACTACACCTGTTCTGCAGGCTAACAGTAAAAAACTTACCCTCAACATCTTTGAAAGTCACGAGAGCCATATTTTCTTCCGGCCGAAAAGTCACAGCTTCTACCTCTCCACCCCCAGAACGTCTCTCATTTTCAAAGTAGTTGCAAATGGAGTCTTCAGTGCTTTGCGCAGTAAGGCCAGTTATCTGGATAGTTTTGCTTGTATTTTCAGCATTATTGAGCAACTCGAGACTGACATGAAGTGTAGCACCATTCAGGATATGCTGATCATGCTTTACAACACTTTGAGCCACTACAAAGAACAAGTAGTTAGGTCAGTATTTACGAAATCTTAGAGTGTAATTTTTTTCCAGCAAGGACAACAACAACAACAATAACAACAACATTAACTGTATTTTCTTCATGTAGAAATGACAACGAATGATACGTGCTCATATTTAGAGAATAAAAGCCTAACAAATTCAATAGGGCTTCGAAAGAGATAGAAAACTATAATTTAAAATAAGCTGAGCTTGAAAAACGTCTTCTTTTCATCTTACACACAATCGCATGATTGTTTACGCCAGGTGTCAAAAAACTGTCGTCCGTAAAGATCTCATAACCATTTCCATTCAACAAAAGTGATTATAAAATCGAATTAACATTATACATGTGACGTATATGGCCTGGGATAATTGAACATTATAAAACGATCCTCGAAAATGACGAAATCACGGCAAAAAGAAGCTTGAAACAATTCAGGCTTTAATGAGGTTCGAACTCAATTCTCCTTGCTAGCAGTTGGACGCAAGAAACAACTGAGCGACGAAGCCTTATCAGACAGCTCTGAATGCTTTGCAGTTACCTTCAGATGACTCAAACAGAACTCGTGCTACATTGCCTTTGATTTTCACTTCTTCAACAACGCCACCTCCCGACCGCCTCGAGTTCTCAAAGTAATTTAAAACAGTGTCTTCCGTTGCATTTTGAGGTAGTCCTTGAACGAAGACAACACGGGACTGCAAGATCACGAGAGATACATGAGACAGACCAAATATTTTCTTCAGAAAGTCAAATAAAATTTCACCACAAGGACAGACGTAAGGATAAGAAACGACCCGAGTTTAAAGGGATCAGTTGTGGGTCTGACCTGATCTCCTGATCCGTCCTTAGCCTGGAACTCGTCAGTGATTGAATGGCGTGAGATTTCCACTGTTGTTCCATTTAAAGTGTGTGTTCTACCTAAGACGTTCGTTGCAACTGTCAAGCAATTAAGAAAAGTTGAATGAATTACTGAATAAATAAAAGAAAAAAGAAAAAAAAAGAAACATATTACAGAACGTACAATACTGATAAGTAATCCTGTTTTCCAAAGACGAAACTCATAAAAAAATGGACCAATTGATTGATCAATCACCTAACGGATAGGAATGCTGGATTGTCATCAATGTGGAAATAAGTTCAATTGCAGATCATCCATCGGAGAAATCCAAGCATCTGCAGTAAGATTCCCTCTCGGGGGCCAGAAGCGTTAATCTTTTTGCCCTTCTGCCCTCGCACCTTTTTCGCACTTCGCGCACGCCCCTCACTTATCTTCGTTTGATTGAAAAACGCAAAAAAAATAACACCTGTTCTGCAGGCTAACAGTAAAGACTCACCCTCAACATCTTTGAAAGTCACGAGAGCCATATTTTCTTCCGGACGAAAAGTCACAGCTTCTACCTCTCCACCCCCAGAACGTCTCTCATTTTCAAAGTAGTTGCAAATGGAGTCTTCAGTGCTTTGCGCAGTAAGGCCAGTTATCTGGATGGTTTTGCTTGTATTTTCAGCATTATCGAGCAACTCGAGACTGACATGAAGTGTGGCACCATTCAGGATATGCTGATCATGCTTTATCACACTTTGAGCCACTACAAAGAACAAGTAGTGAGGTCAGTATTTACGAGATTTTAGAGTGTAATTTTTTTCTCCAGTTAGGGAAACAGCAACAACAATAACAACAACATTAACTATATTCTCTTTATGTAGAAATGACTTCGAATGATACGTGCTCAGATTTAGGGAATAAAAACCTAACAAATTCCATAGGGCTTGGAAAGAGACAGAAGACTACAATTTAAAATTAGCCGAGCTTGAAAAACGTCTTCTTTTCATCTGACACATAATCGCATGATTGTTTTCGCCAGGTGTCAAAAAAATGTCGTCCCTAAAGATCTCATAACCATTTTCTTTTAGCAAAAAAGATTATAAAATCGAATTAACATTATACATGTGACGTATATGGCCTGGGATAATTGAGCATAAAATGATCCTCGAAAATGAGGATATCACAGAGAAACGAGCTTGAAACAATTCGGCTTTGATGGGGTTCGAACCCAATTCTCCTTGCTAGTAGCTGGGCACAAGAAACAACTGAGCGTGGAAGCCTTATCAGACAGCTCTGAATGCTTTGCAGTTACCTTCAGATGACTCAAACAGAACTCGTGCTTCATTGCCTTTGATTTTCACTTCTTCAACAACGCCACCTCCCGACCGCCTCGAGTTCTCAAAGTAATTTAAAACAGTGTCTTCCGTTGCATTTTGAGGTAGTCCTTGAACGATGACAACACGGGACTGCAAGAGCATGAGAGATACATGAGACAGACGAAATATTTTCTCCAGAAAGTCAAATAAAATTTCACCGCAAAGACAGACGCGAGGATAAGAAACGAAGACAATGTGTTTAACAGTAAGGGCGATATTATCTCAACTAAGCTTGATCCTGGCAGAAAAAGGTTTACAAAGAACATCAATAAACCGCTGTTAGAAGTTAAAGCCTTGAAATTGTGCAATGTACGCACCAGTGAATTTATGCTATGAGTGACTGAAAGAAACTTTTCGACTCAGGGATGCTTGGTGCGAGATGAAACACAGTAGGCAGTTTAAAAGGTTCAGTTGTGGGTCTGACCTGATCTCCTGATCCGTCCTTAGCCTGGAACTTGTCAGTGATTGAATGGCGTGAGACTTCCACTGTTGTTCCATTTATAGTGTGTGTTCTACCTAAGACCTTCTTTGCAACTGTCAAACAATTAAGAAAAAAGAAAAAAAGAGAAACATTTTACAGAACGTACAATAATTAATCTTTTTTTCCAAAATAAAAAATTGGAGCAATTATAATTGATCAATCACCTAACGGAAAGGAATGCTGGATTGTCATCAATCAAATAAGTTCAATTGCAGATCATCCAGCGGAGAAATCCAAGCATCTGCAGTAAGATTCCCTCGTGGGGGTCAGAAGCGCTAATTCTTTTGCCCTTCTGCCCTCGCGCCTAACTCGCACTTTGCGTGCGCCCCGCACTTACCTCCGTTTGACTGAAAAACGCAAAAAAAAAAAAAAATTACACGAGCTAACAGTTAAAAACTCACCCTCAACATCTTTGAAAGTCACAAGAGCCACATTTTCTTCGGGCAGAAAAGTCACAGCTTCTACCTCTCCACCCCCAGAACGTCTCTCATTTTCAAAGTAGTTGCGAATGGAGTCTTCAGTGCTTTGCGCAGTAAGGCCAGTTATCTGGATGGTTTTGCGTGTATTTTCAGCATTATCAAGCAATTCGAAACTCGCATGAGGTGTAGCACCATTCAGGATATGCTGATCATGCTTGACAACACTTTGTGCCACTACAAAGAAAAAGCATTAAGATGACGATCCTTGAAATCTTAGAGTATAAATATGTCTTCAGCGAGAGCAAGAGCAAGAGCAACAACAGCAAAACCAAAAACAACATCAACTATATTTTCTTTATCTAAAAATAATAAGGACTGATACGTGCTCAGTTGTAGAGAATAACACCCTGACCTTTGGCCTCGAAAGAGAAAGAAGTATATACTTTTAAGTTAAATGACCTAAAATAATATTCCCTTCAGCTGGCACATGACCGTATAATTTTTTAAGCGGTTACAAGTGTAAAGAAATGCCGCCCCAAAATTCTCAGGACCATTTTCTTTTAGGAACAGTTATTATATCAAATAAAAAAGTTAAAATTATATATATATATATATATATATATATATATATATATATAGATATATATATATATATATATATATACACCTGGGGGTAATTAAAAAAGGAAATTAAAAAATGTAATTGTAATGTAATGTAAAATGTAATTAAAAAATGAAAAATTGACCCTCGAAAAAGACGAAATGACAGAAAGATAAACTTGAAACAACCAGGCTTACATGACGTTCGCGCAGTATTCTCTTTGGGGTAGTTGGGAGTATAAAATAACTAAGCTATGCAGCCTCATCTTAGGAGCGAGGCAAATTTAGGTGGGTTCTTTGTTCTCGTTAGTGAGTCTCCACGTATTAACATATTTCACTTCCTGTATATCATCCGCAAGGGAAAACGTCATTTATCATAATTGCGGTCAGAGACCTTTAACAAAACAGCAGGCTCCCTCTTAACATGAGGCTCTGTAGCTCAGTTGGTAGCATTGCCCAATGAATAATTATTTTAGAGGCACGGCACGAACCTTTTCAGACCTCTCGCGGACTAAAATGCCAAACGCCAGCTACACATGTTATAAAGTTACCTTCAGATGACTCAAACAGCACTCGTGCTTCAGTGCCTTTGATTTTCACTTCTTCAACAGCGCCGCCCTCCGACCGTCCCGAGTTCTCGAAGTAATTCAAAACCGTGTCTTCCGTTGCATTTTGAGGTAGTCCTTGAGCGAGAACAACACCGGTCTGCAAGAGCACGAGAGATACATGTGACGGAACAAACATTTTCATGAGAAAATAATATAAAATTTCGGTACAAAGACAAAGGCAAAAATAACAGAAAAGAAACGATGTTTTTAACTGTAGGAACGATATTTTCAGAGATTAATTTACTCTTCCAAGGACAGGTTTTGCAGGACCATCAAATACACCACTTTTAGACATTGAGGCTTTGACATTGTGCAATGTATGCTCGAATGAATTCATGCCAGGCGTTATCAAAAGGAAACTTTTCGACTAACTAATGCTCGGCGCGAAAGGAAACACAGTATAAAGTTTAAATGGTTAAACTGTGGGTCTAACCTGATTTTCTGACCCGCCCTTAGCCTGGAACTCGTCAATGATTGAATGGCATGAGACTTCCACTGTTGTTCCATTCAAAGTGTGTGTTCTACCTATGACCTTCTTTGCAACTGTCAAACAATTAACAAAAATTACAATGATTAACCAAATGAAGTGAAAAGAAAGGAACAAAATAGATCAAACAATAAGGTTTTTTTTCTTAAAATCAAAATCATAAAGATATGAACCAATTGATGGATTGATCACTGAAAGGATAGGATTGCTGGATTGTTATCAATATGGAAATAAGTTCAATTGCTTTTCATCGAAGCGAGAAATCCAAAGATCTGCAGAGAGATTCCTCAGGGACTCAAGATTTTTTCTTGGTCCCATACTTGCGACAAGACATGCATCACCTCTCACTATTAGACAAGAAGAATGTTTCATCTTTCCTAGTTAATCTGAACAAAATAACATTTAAGTACTGGGAGGAACCACTCATCCACTTCAAGTTGGGAGGCTTCCATTAAATGGGTGGAGAAGTAGTGGGAGCCTAACTTGAAACAAACATACAAAGCAATGCACTGGCTTAACTGAAGTACCACTGGTTGTGACTCACACCACTTTAAAGAAGGACACAGCCAGATTGTTCGCAATGTAACAGAACCAACGCAGAATTGTGCTGAATAAATACGCCAATTCTTCACCTTTTCTAATGTATGATAAGAGCAGCCCTTACTAGATTTAAAAGCAAAATGTAACTTGTACCAAACGACTTACCATCAACATCTTTGAAAGTCACAAAGGCCACATTTTCTTCCGGCCGAAAAATAACAACTTCTACCTCTCCACCCCCAGAACGTCTCTCATTTTCAAAGTAGTTGCGAATGGAGTCTTCAGTACTCTGCGCAGTAAGGCCAGTTATCTGGATAGTTTTGCTTGTATTTTCAGCATTATCAAGCAATTCGAGACTGACATGAAGTGTAGCACCATTCAGGATATGCTGATCATGCTTGACAACACTTTGTGCCACTACCGAGAACACAAAATGAGATTAGTGTTTAAAAATGTTGTATATTTGGGCTCGTTATATACTACTATAGTGTAACGCGTGCACAGGCTAAGTGCTCTACACAACTGCTTTATTAGAATACCATGAATCAAGTGACTGCGGTCAAGGGTGTGCTAACCGATAGAATAAAGATTATGTAATAGCTAAGGTGTTTATCCGATAGGAACAAGCACTACAAAAACACTGAGAAACAACAACAGCAATATACTAGTGATCTACAAATAGTAATTGGTATATAAACCCCTACAGGCGGCTTGTATTTCGGCTTATAATGTCTACGGCAGAGATGTTTTCCGAAAGATGTATATCCGGCCGGGGAGCCGGAAATTTGTAAGGAAAATGTGAAATTTTGAGGACAGTCTCCCAGCCAAGGACATCACCTTCACTTATTTTCGTATCGCGTTGACAACAAATTTGTTGACTTTTTTGTACTTTACGAAGGAGCATTTGAGATCTGCTTTTTTAGTAATATTACTATCACTCTACTCCATAAAACGAGTACGTTTCTCTGCGGTGCAAAGTAATAAAGACGAAAAAGCGAAACTATTGTGCTGGGTTTTCCTCGCTGGTCTGTTTGTTTTCGACGGAAAAATCAAAGGAAAATATCGACGTAAACAGGGATTATTGCGATATAACTATCATTGATTTTGCACCACGTGGTGTAAAGTGGCCGATAGAATCAGTTGAAATTAATAGATGGGTTATAACGACTATTATTAAATTTTCAACTCCGAATATTGCATTTCTAGTGTTCTGATTGGATCACTCGACTCCAGTTATCAGCTCATATTCCGAGTCAGCTTATATGAAAATGCATTGCGTCAACTTTTGCAGAGCTGAAAAGAGCTCGGAATATCCGAACGTTCAGGATTTTATGAAATTTGATGCAACAATTTTTTCATTCACACTTATTGGATACGAGATTGGTTATAGCCAACTCGGCGCCACTTGCCTCGTTGGCTATTTACCATCTCATATCCAACGCGCGCTCATGGAATAATGGTTAATTAGGTAATGCAATTCAAGAGTTTTTATTGGCTTAGCCATCATAAGTGTACGTGTCAAAATTAAAACGCAACCAAAAAAAATTTCGCGCACTGAAACATTCCTTTTGTTCTTACAAAATAAAGTTGGGAAGATTGGTCTGTAATTTGGGGCTATTTTAACATATCAATTATTCCACTCGTGCTTGTTGAATATGAGATGAATAGAGTCAACTCCTTGGATATTTATCGTCTCATATCCATGGTTCATGGAATAATTGTTTAATACGTCCTCCGCTCTATGCGAAAATAAAATCGATCTTAAAAAGTCATTATATTGTTTAGATTACCTTCAGATGACTCAAACTTCACTCGTGCTACATTGCCTTCGATTTTCACTTCTTCAACGGCGCCACCTTTCGACCGCCTTGAGTTCTCAAAGTAATTCAAAACACTGTCTTCCGTTGAATCCTGAGGTAGACCACGAACAATAACAATACAGGTCTGGAAGAGCACGAGAAATACACGTGACCAAAGACGTACATGCCTTATATAGTGAAATATGAATTTGTATGTAATATTCTTGGGGCGACTCTTTGCAACTTATGGCCAATATGCCAAGAAAATCTGAAAAATTCCTTTAGAGCCGGCTTAGGCTTGTTATTTTAAGTTATATTTGAAGTCATGCTGTAAGAACCCACGGTCAACCTTTGGACTAAACGGTGCTTGTTGCGAGATAAATGATGGTAAGGTTTATGAAGGTTTAGAAGGGCACTTAACCTTATTTACTGATCTATCCTCAGACTGGAACTCTTCTGTGAATGTTTGGTAGGAAACTTCCACCTTTGTCCCATTTATAGTGTGTGGCGCTCTTCCTATGACATTCTGTGCAACTAAACAAAGTGAACAAAGAAAAAACAAAATGAAAGTAAGACAACTACTTGTATTACACCTACGAACTGTAAATTGAATGTAACCTATAAAGAAACTGACGTATGTATCAATGAATGATTGATAATGAATTGTTAACGAAAGTGTGGGTCAACAAATGGCGAGGAAACATAGAAAACAACTGTTGGAGAATGAACGTAGTGAATGAAATGAATTTGTTATCAACGAGGGAATATGCACACGGGACCAGGGAATATATGCACTGAAACTGACAGAAAATACAGAGTATGATTACCACACGTTTAAAATCTGAGACTTTTAGGAAAAAATTAAGATCATTCGCTCATTCCATTTTACACCAGAGATTATTGTGGTTGTGTGGATTGTATCAGAGAGAGGGTGTCGTAATGCTCTTACATTTACAATAATGGAACAATGGAAACAGAGTGGAACACTGTAGAATATATACATATATAAATGTGGGGTAGAGTCTACCTTGGCATAAAGTGCTCAATGCTGTCAATGCTGTGGTAGCAGAGCTGAGTATATATAAGTGAAAGAATCAAAGAGGACGTATCGATTCTCTGTTACTATGAGTTTCGCGCCTAAGCGCTCGTCAGACAGAACTTTCTGTCAGACGAGCGCTTAGGCGCGAAACTCAGAATAACAGAGAATCGATGCGTCCTCTTTGATTCTTTCACTTATATGTATATATATGTTTCAAAAATGTTGCAATTTGAAAAAAATATATGATGTGTATACTTCATGTATATTTTCAAATTGTAGCGTTTTTGAAAACGGGTGTATCCATATAAACGCTAAAAAAAGGGGAAAAGAAAAACCCTCCCTGAGAAGGAACATGATCGCGTGCTATTTTTTAATCAGTGCTCACAAATTTTTAAAAGCTGTATATCCAAGGGATTGCACAAATTATTTGAGTGAAGGAATCAAATAGTAGTGGCGTAAGAATTGGTTCACGCTTAGCGAGCGTACGTCGAGTTATGAATGCATGCATTCAAACGGTCATGATGGTTGATGATAGTTTCAACTATTGCACGCGTTTTAACACGAACCATCGTGCATTGTTATCGACTATCATCGGCTATTATCAACTATCATGTAGTTCGGACATGTTCAAATTTGACATGGTAGTTGATGACAGTTTTTTTTCCGTTTGAACGAGCGGGTGAATGATAGTTTTTCGGTCGGCAGTTTTGCCAAAGACGGACTCAAACCGAAATGGCAAATGGTAAAATGATAAATTTCGCAGAATGTCTCGTAGTCCATTCACATCATCCCTTGGTAGGCTACAGTATCTTAAATTCGAAATATCTTGATTATAATTTGAAATGTCACCGAGATTGCTGACCTCAGCGCGCACTAAATTTGTTTACAATTACGCGATCGCGTTTCTTGATTTTGTCAACTTTTATCAACTACCATGACCGTTTGGTTGCGTCGAGAGGGACTCTAACTTCTTGAGTGCTCTCCAAACTTTCCGAGCGCATTCAGAACTCGATGCTTGCACAGCTAAAGCACGAACCAATTATTTTATAACATAGCATGTGGATAAGAAAAAGACAAGACAAAAACGACCACAGAAGAAAAATTTGGAGACCAAAGCTTATTCAAAGAATTGTAAATTTGCTGCATAAAAGCGCAAAAAGAACATTCTTCTTGCATGTGCGAGACCGTGTGGTAGTTTCAGCATGCTTGAATCGTAATTTATTAGCCGAATTCAGAGCAAGAAAATTGCGTAACCTTTTTTGCGCTGTCGTTAAGTACCCGGCAACCGCGTACGGTCTGAAATAGACTAAATACCCGGCATTCAGAAATTTCTACAAAACTTCAAGTGAAATATTCTTTCAAACTTCACGAGAACATCAGATGTTTTCAGAGAATTGTCAAGCGATTCCAAAAATAAATTTGTTTTTTGAGCGAACATTCTTCCAGCTTGAGCATCCTATAGTATCGCTCGGTTGTCGACTAAGAAATTGTTCGCTTTTGATCAGACAGCCAGACACGGTCTCAAATGACTAAATGGCCGGCAGTTGGAAATTTTCACCAAAATGCCACTAAAAACTCCAGAGAAACCTATTGAGTATATTCGATGTTTGTTTAGAAATGCCAAGCGATTCTAAGAATTGCGTTGGTTTTCTTAGTATAGTAGTCACACTTAACGTACCAAACATGTTGTAAGGCTTAGGAGGTCACGTTGGTTTCGTCAATAGAATGTTGTCTTCGAGACCATTGTGGCGTGACAGTAATGGGACAGCTTCAAGTTCAGTAAATATGGAGGGAAACTATGCAGAAAACCTCAAATAAACCTATTAAGAAAATCCGATATTTGTTTAGATAACCTTATGATTCTAAAATTATTTTTTTTTAGTGGATAAACTTTCCGAGCAGAACAGAGCACAGTCAAGACTTCTCTATCTGTGATATTAAGCATGCGGACAAGAAAAGACAACCACTTCATAAATAATTCGAAACCGAAGCTTATCCAAAGAATTGTTAATTTGCTACCTAGAAACGCAAAGAGAAACACTTATTTGCATGTACGAGACCACATTTTAGTATACTTAAATCGTTGTTCAATAGAATTTAGAGGAAATTGCGTAGATTGGTGATGAAAATTCTGAGAATTTTGCCTTCGGCGAAGTTATTTGATGTCGACTTTAAAATCTTCTATTTAAAGGTACTTTAAGACATATCAACACAATGTTCCTGATTTACCATTCGAAAAGCGAAGCTAAAACGTACGATTTCCTCCAACTCCAAAGCAAATTTTGGAAATTAGGAAGGACGTGCAGGCACGTCATGTCATTAAATGAAATGGTAAATACGCTCCATGTAAACAGGAATGCCGCCTTTGGAGAGTAAGTCGCGCCCGAATTGTACCTGAAGTACATTCAGAAATAGCTCTCTGTGATATTTTGGATCAGGGAAACCCTCATTACAGCTATATTATGGACAAATTTGATTGTTACGATCAGCAGTTAGTTTGTGGTGCTGCTTTTACGGCAGAATTAGGGGACATATGGAAACATTTGAAAGTGAAGGAGGAAGTACCGTACTGAAGATCAAAAGCGAATTAACATTATGATTGAAACTCTTTAAAAAAGGGAAATTTAAACCACATCGCTGAGGGAAAGATAACAAATAAATTTAAACAGATCATTAAAAGGAAATTTCAACTCACCATCGCTTTCTTCGAATGTTATGACCGCTTCGCTTTCATTCAAGTCTACCGAGCTTATATCTCCACCTCCAGAATGTTTACGTGATTGGAAATATATCATTAATTCTTGCTTGGATATCTCTCTACCGATAGCTCGAACGTGTAAAGTCCGATCTTTATCCATGTTTACAATGGTATGGCATTCCAAACTTCGAAAAACAACTATATGATAGTCAAGGTCCCTATCGTGCGAAACCGAAACTTCTCTGAAGCCCTGACTCTGGGTATTCGCAGAAATGTGAAATCACCCCAGAGCATCTTGGTTATGTCATCACCGGTCATGCGCGTAATCCTACAGTGGACTATGAGGGGTAAATGTGTTGCATGTCTTTAAAAATTAGCCTTCTGGGATGAATACTAGATAACAGAAATTTCCTTACAACAAAAATGTAATATCAATGAACTAACACCAACTAGATAGCTTTTCTTTCAATTCCTATGAGCTCCTTTCGAAGCATTACGAAAAAATCATAAAGGTCCTATCCTACACCTCTGCAAATTGCTCAGACTCCAATTTCCGGGAATTCTATGACAAAATTAAAATTCTAAGAGGAGCGAAAAAGATAAGTGACTGTATATGCAGAAATCCGTGTTCGTTTCCATGCCATCATTCTCCCACTTGGCCGATGGCAACACAGTGTAAGGGAATCTGAATAACCCGGTAAAAAGTGCCAAGAGTGGCCATGAAATTCGATGCGTGACTGCTAGGAAGTATGCCTTTCCGCTTCAGAATGTCGCGTTTAACAGCCAGGGTATCAGCTTCGTCTCAGGGTAAATATGACTCCCTAAGCATCGAAACGAACAGTAATCTGATACAATTTCAGAGTAACGTGTACTGGTGGTTTAGTGTAGTAACTACAAGTGGATTGCGCGACATGTGACGCTAGACCATTGGGATCTATCAGTCACGAGGTCACAACCAGGACACAGCTGCAAATGAATGGTTTGCAGACGAATGCTGGAAGGAAGTCTTCACCCACGATAGCAAAGGTACATCTCTCTCAGGATCGCGCCAGGTACTAACATCGGCTCTCGTGTCCAGTCATCGTGTCCGTTTCCAGATCACGCAGTGGAACTACTACACAGCAGAAGCTGACAATCTGTCCTTGAGAAAATCTCACGTGATAGCTCAGGCTTTACATCTTGTTCCTTTCTGTCGACTAATGTCTGCACTAGAGTGACACAATGAGTAGTTGATGAATAGATGTGAATTCACCAGAAAACCAAACTGACTGATTAAGTATACTGACATTGAGCTGAGTTTTGAGTTTGACCTCAATTAACTTGATTTGATTGAAGTGTCCGAGAGTTAGCAAAGATCCTGTATATTATTGACAGGTCTTGATGGTAAAAAATGCATAAGCGCCTTTATTTCAAATGCGTGCTAAACTGCCTACATTTCATTGTGGCCTTGACTTTATCATCGAACATAGAGAGCTCAATTTAATGTTGGCGGTTTACATTGGCTATAGCTTTGTCAGCCCGGTCTTGCCTAGACCGCTCTTGTCCATTTAGCTATTCTTCCTCAAGCTTCGGCCGAACTGGATGACATATGAAAACTAACTTGACCTAAAGAGGCTTCCACGTATTTAAGCATTAAAACTTGAATTAAACGCGTTATCCCCTGCCTCCCATTCTAGATTTGCTCCTATCCCCAATTTCGTGTTATTGTTCTCTGTTCAAATATCTGGTGGGTGTGGTACAAAGGCCAAAATTTTTGCCTGAGTACATGGAGTTATCAACATAATTAAAAAATGGCGTCTGTCATTGGACTGTAGGCTAAAATGATCTGGTTGGTTTTTCCTTTTTTCCGCACCAGCCTTGGAAAAAATAAAGCCTTGAAGACCGCACAGACGAAGGGGAAATGAGCGGAAGAATACTTTATTGGAAAGAAAAAGGCGTCAAGGTCTTAAAATCGACATGACAAAGATCCCAACGACCGATTTAAAAAATATTCCGTGGGACCGTATGCTAAAATAATCATGCTGTTTTTTCCTTCTTTTTCCTTCTTTATTGATCAAAATACATCTTTGTAGACCTCACACACACAGAGCAGATATGCTGGAACTGAATAAACGGGCCTCAAAGTCCTAAAATCGATGAGGACAACATATGAGTTTGTTTTGTTGCGTCGCGTACATAATTTTAATAATGTCTTCAGTTGATTCTGCATATCCGTTCGGCTGCCGCTTGGCCATATTTTACACATCTTTGGCGGCTGATTAACCATGTTTGGTGTCTTAAATATTTAATCGGATTTGACCTATCTTTTTTTGTCACGCCTCGACGTAATTTGGTTTTTCCCGCTATCGAATTTGATTTTGCTTCCCATGAAAAAAGCCAATATGGAAAATAAATGATAAAAGTGTTTCCTTGCAAAACTATTCATTCCATGGTTTACGAAGGACACAATGCGCGAAGGCGTGCTCGTGAAAAACTCGAGGTTTGGTAATAAACTTTATTTGACGTATATAACTTTGCACTTGGCACGAGTGTTCACTGACAACTGCACGTGAAAGTGCCTAATAGCTAATTAACTATTGGCTATGAACCACCGTCTATTGTGAGATACCCCTTATGTTATCATATTTACTTGAGAGATTATGGAGATCATACCTTAGGCGGCACTAAAAGGTCAGACTGACACGCATTTTAAGAAAGAAAACTAGGCTCGCTATCAGTGGAATGGGTACTAAGGTCAGTGTTAGTTAGGGTTAGAGTACCAAGAGCACTCAACAAGACGTAAACCTTCTGTCGTCCCACATGTATTTGCATCGTTCTTAAAACTATAACACTTTTGGTCAGCATCTGACATTGCTGTTGATTCGTAATATCCTCTATTTTTGCTAAGTTTGAACTACATCGGTGGTTTGAGCTTGATGAACCTTCTGCCTGCTTCTCCCATGGAAGCAATCTCAAAGTTAAAAAAAATGCACTCTATACCTCCAAAGGAAAGGGACAGTACTGGTTATTCAAAGTCCTTTAACGACCTTTTTTTTCTCATTTAAAAGTAATAAGATAATCTGGATAACACTGGTTATCGTAGAACACAACGAATATGGTTGGATTTGAAGGGTTATCCACAACAGTGTCATAAGCATCGGTAGCGTCACTTCCCTTGGGAGGCGGAGTAATCATTCCCTGTCGTCCGGTCGTGTATTCACCGGCAAGGACACGTGCAAGATACATGTAACGGTTTCCTGTCCCATCAGGTGGTGAATATGTCTTTTGCGTGGAATAGGATGCATCTCGAGCAAAGTAAACACCATTTCCATACACGGTGGCTAAAAAAAAAGAAGCAACCGGTAAATAACATCGTCCTTCTTCTTGCGGGCATTTAATTTATTTTGTTTATTCTTTCCGATAACATTCAAACATTCCATGCTATTTAAACGCTAACTCAAAGCTACTGAGGTTTACAATGAATGTCTAGAACAAGATGATAAGACATCTTCTTTTAACTTTCAAATTCGAGTGATCACCAAAACTAATTATGAATAGAAGTGATCTTCGCAGTGATATGCACTCCTTAGGCAGTAGTGAAAATAAGGCCTGAAAAAAAATTTTTTTTTTTTTTTAGGCCTTATTTTCACTACTGCCTAAGTAGTGCATATCACTGCGAAGATCACTTCTATTCATGTCTTTATCCGCAGTTCAAATATATGACCTTCATATATTCTTAACCGTCCAAAACTTATTATCCTAGCTAAGGAGTACACAAAGGACGTAATGTTCGCGTCTTCATAGAGAAAAGTTGGCCTCCTGAGTCGATTATCTTGAAATGTGTCAGTCGTGGAAGATTATGTTTTAATCCCAAGTAGTTATTTTTTACAGGAAATGAAAAAAAAAATCATGTAGGTATAAACTTCTAAAATAACAATGAACTTAATAATTACCATTTTTGCCACAGTAGCTTCTGTTGAAACCGAATTTGTTGATGGTGGGGCAGCTGCTTCCCGCTGTTCCATGGAAGAGTAGTTTTTCATTGCTACCTTTTTTATGTTCCATCTGGTCCCGTCTGACCATGTATTGCCGGTACAAGACAGGGTTTTGTACCCTTTCGATCTTGATAATGTTAACAGTACACGTCTTGCGTACGTCTTCTGCTACCTTTTTGTACTCGCTCGCGTTAGGGTCTAATAGCACTTGGTGTACCTCTTTCTCTTTTCCAGAGCCATCCTTTGGGTGCACATCCCACTCCAAGGGTAATGGAACACCTGATTGAAAAGATTTGATCTGACTTGAAATTCATATCAATTAGCACAGTTCAATATACAATAGAGATAGAATTTAAAACGACTTTGATATATAGGTGTGCATAATTGTAAAATATGTATTACTTTTCAGTTCAGCTGCATTGTACCTTTCCCAATCTCTTTTCGAACGACGACTCTCACTTCTCCATCGTCGAGGCAGTTTTCCTTCATGTCCTTGAAAACAATTTTGCATTTTGCATCATCGATTGATACAATAACGGAATCTTTTCCCTCGCGAAAGGCTTCTTCAATCTGCAAATTAATACTGGGCTCATAGGGCTCTGGGGTTTCATCATCATCGCTGTCATAGGAGAACCACTGTACATTTTTGGAAAGAAGCTCACCAACACCTCTCGTGTGATCTTCCTCGATCTTCTGGTTGAGTACTTCGTAAATTGTAGTGGCCACCTCAAGAACGTCTTCTGCATCACCTCTTACAGATATGCGACTAATGGTCTGCTCGATGTTAACATCGACGTCGTATTCAGCTTTCAATCTCTTTATTTGTTGTGTTTGCTCCTTTGAAAGGTTACATATTGGTTCACGCTCAATTACTTTCAGCGTGCAGTGATCAGCCACATCCTTTTCTATTTTCTTGATGACCTCGTCGATGTCTTGCTTGGTGCTTGCGAAAATTTCTATGTAGCTGAAAGGCTTTCCTTTTCCGTGAAACATGCGCATCGATGGCATAGAATGTGAAGACGCTGAGCCACTTCGTCCGAATCCGAACCATCCAGCAAGCTTTGAGAGAAAACCTGTCCCACCTTTCGCAGAAGACAAGCTATCTTCCATTGCAGTTTGGAACACAGTTAACATGTGGGGCTGATAGATTACAATGCGAATTAGAGCGATGAATGCAGGTTCCTCTCGAGCAAACTTGAAAATAGCAGCCATCATCCCCTCTGCAGCCTCTTTGGCATCTTTATTGATGTTCCCTGTTCCAACAGCTGGAAAT